TTGTATCTACCACTGGTTTGATTTTCGTTCCTATGTTTGTGCATAATTTTCCTTATTGGAAATTGATAGGTTTAAGGTCAACAAGGACCAGTCAACATTAAGGTGTACAGGAGAAGCTGTGAACCACATTTGGGGAAATTTGAACACTTTACTTTTACTTAAATTTTCTGCTGATGATATCATCCAGAAGAATGATGGAAGCTCCACAATTAAACCATACAGTACAGAGAACAAAATTTCATCAAAATCATCCATCATCCAGCTACAAATCTTCTCCTCCATTTTAAAATCATATGAGCGTAGTACGATTCTCGTTGTTCGAAAATGGAAGTTCGCCAAAAGACCAGCTTCCACTCGATAACAACTGCATTTTCTCCACGAGTGTCTTCGTCGGCACGTTCTACCAACAATTTTAAGATAAAGATTATTATAAAATAAAAATATAATTCGTTATCATTATAGAATTCTATAAACAATTATAATTATTCGTATTACATCATTAGTAAATAGATTATTATCGATAATAGAAATGGTATTGTGGTGTATGCTACTAATGTCGACAGGTAATTTGTACCACCGATCGAAAGGAGAATGCCTAGTAGCAGACGGTTAGGAATATCGAAGGAAGGAGAACGAGAACAGAGCATGATTAGTGAGGAAACGAAGGGACAGTGAAGTCTGAGACAACTGATTGACATCTTGCAAATAAAGTATTTACTGTATGATCCTCAGATTTTACTACGATGTTCTGTAATTTTGTACTCAAACATATTCGATTGTCCCCAATTCTATTCTCATTATCTACAGTATGAAATACTTCATTAGTTCTGTTGTATGCTAGTGAAGATTAAAAAACGAGTAACGTATGTGAACTATTAATGGACTAATATAACTGTATGATCAGAAGGGGTTTTGTGGAGATTTTAGAAATTTTAATAGTTGAAATCATGAGTCAACTAAAGCTAGACCACCTTAAAAAACCTGGAAGCACTGGACGGCCGTTTCGTCCTAGTATGGGACTCCTTAGCAGTGCGCATCCATGGTACTGCCCACGCGAGTTTCGAACCCAGAACCAATTACTGTATAAGTATTCAGTTACTAGATTATGAATATTCATATCCCTCTTATTATAAGCTTCAATATGATCCATAGAATATTATGATACGATTCATTATTCTTAAATTATATTCACTTTGTTGATTATAGTCTCTCACGTTCACAGCTACCTCTTGGCTTGATCTTGTATGAATATGTATTTCCTAATTCATTATGTGATACAATCTGTTTGACTGGTATATAAACCAAGTAAGTATGTTTGAAATAAATAATTCGCATAGTGGAAGATGATATTAGTGTTCTGGACTCAACTGAAAGACTAGAAGGGGAAAAGGTCAATAAGGATGATAGGCTGTATGATCAAATAGAAACCTAATGAAATATATACATGTTCAAATTCAAGAAAAAAGATTCACAGGGATACTTATGTGTGATAAATATCTATAAATATACCACACAACATCTAAAAGTTGATCATTTTAGTGAAGTTTTGTTCTCTGACCTGGATGGTTTGGTCGTGGAGCTCAGAGAACAAAACTCCAATAAATCATCCACCTGAGCTACAAATCTCCTCCACCATCTCAAAAGTTGGTCATTTTTACTGATTTGCTAGTTTAGGTAAACTTTACTCAGGCTTAAGACATGTAATCCATAAGTCTTGTTAGATGAACGCTCAATCCGATTTCATGGTCGCTTTTAATAACCTGAGAACTAAATCTACACTTTTTTGATGGAGTCTTATTCTCTGAGCTAGATGGTTTGGTCGTGGAGCTTTCATGCTTATAAGAATACGCAAATAAGAAGGAAAACTAGTTAAGTTCTGTATATGTTCATGTTATATCCTAGTGAAGATTAAATTACGGGTAATTTCTGTGAACTATTAATAGACTAATATTACTGTATAACTATTCAGTTACTAGATTATGTATATTCATATCCCTCTTATTATAAGCTTCATTATGATCTATAAACTATTATGATATGATTTACCTATTTTATATATTTATATGAACACAAAGAGGCACCACATAGATATGCGCCACATAAATCATTCAATTTGTGTGAGGGCTGTGATACTGTCCGAGTGCCCAGACCTGAGCAGACGGTTTTCTTAGGGGGCTGCCCTCCAAGCCTTCGACCTAAAGGTCTAATCCACAAGGCAGTCGAGTGACGTCAGGTTATGCAGTCCCTTGGTAACCGGTGACCAATAATATATCATTTGTTTCCCTAGGATTTAACTCTCCTAGGTGAACCCTCCGTGTCCACCAACCCGGTTAAGGCGACGAACATTCGCTTTTCATCCCCTCAATTTCGTAAACAACAATAATGCCGCGAGCAGGCAGTGATTAGGACTTCCTTGGCAGAGGCTATATATGCGTGATCATGTGAGAGCATTTGGGGAAAGAGAGATGACTCTCCCCACTCTCGGCTGTACATGGGCATATGTTGATTACAGTCTCTCACGTTCACAGCTAACTCTTGGCTTGATCTTGTACAAATGTTAGTTCCTATTTTATGGTGTGATACAGTCTGTTTGGCTGGTACATAAATCAAGTAAGTATGTTTGAAATGAATGATTTGCTTAGTGGAAGGTGATATTGGTGTTCTGAACTCAACTGAAAATGTTGGGAGGGAAAAGAGTCAATATGGATGCTAGGTTGCTCATACTGGTCGATACATCATTGGTTTGGCACAATGTTAAGATTGTATAAGTCGTATTTCGATTGGCGAATAAATCATGTGATAATTAGCCAGGCTTAAAGTCACAACAGGTTCAATTTTCAATATAAACCAATGGATTTTTGTACTGATTGCTCGTAAAATAACTTCTATAAGTCTTAAGATTTTTTTAATCTTCTATCAGTTTAGTCACACTCTAATGGACTGATGTTACGATCAACGACGTTCGATTGGGATAATTACGGTGCCGACATTTTCGATCTGATCAAGGATGTATCGGCTGTAATTTCGATCAGACACACAGTCGGTTTCTTCCAATAGTTATCTCTGATCTCAACTACTATTTGACCTTGAAATGGTTTGTGATCACTAACATCTTATATCCCTAGATGAGTTCAGATTAAAAGTAATTCATTGTTGTATCTCTTCCTATTTTGTAGTTATCCAGTAAATGTTACTTATTCTCAATAATCAGTAGTTCGTTCAACCAGTATAATATTTCATAGAATAGATGTATAATGGCTAACAGTGAAATTTTGGACACTTTCTTCCATATTTTAGAGTTGCCGATTGGATGTATCTGTATTCCCGTATTTTTGTTCCCATTGAGTTTATAACCCATTACCTTTAGATTCAAACGCCAACACATTATCGTCTAAGCTATTTGCTAAGAGTCTAACTGCAGACATTAGTTCTGTGATATATGTACATCGAGCTAACATATCCCGAATAGAATTAAACAGAAATCATAGTTTCTAATAACAGTTTCAATCCATCTATTATATAAAATGTGATGAAATAGTTGTACTGAAGCACACCATGGAAATATCCCAAACCCTTACTATTAACAGAAGAGGTTTTGTGGAGATTTTAGTAATTTCAATAGTTGAGATCATGAGTCCATTGAAGCTAGACCACCATGGAAAACCTGGAAACACTGGATGGTCGTTTCACTGTTCTGATCACTTATGAATAAATAGTAATGGTAAGTATAATTGTATTTTGATGAGAGTTTTATAAGTGGTTGAGTAATCTGTATTCTTAGACAACTAGAATAATGGGGTATCCCTATTATCTACTCAAACTTATATGAAATTGTTAACTTTATGACTTAAACTTACATTGTCACTTGAATAATAATAGTTTCCACATGTGTCAGTAATATGGTGTCTGCTACTGATGTCAACAAATATAAGTAGTATGTATCTATCAACTTCTAAACCATTGAGCCGGCATCCAACTGTGTTAATGTTTAACTTCAACTAATCCACCCAATTGAGCTACCGTCCACCATTGTCTTCAGTGAGTTGCTATCTCACAACAGACACAGTTGAACTCCACTGGTCACTGCTTGAATATATTTGAATATATTGTTAAACACAAAAACTTCTTTTGAAATCATTGAACAAAAGTTAGTTAATAGTTGTGAAGTATATCTCCAATATCAGTATAATATAACTTGAATTGTTCTAATATTTAAGAAAACAGAAAGTTATTAGTTTAGAGGTTATGGAGATTGTTAAGTTTTCGATTGAGATCATGAACCGATTGATGTTAGACCACCATTAAAAACCTGGAAGCACTGGACGGCCGTTTCGTCCTATTGTGTGGCTCCTCAGCAGCGCGCATCCACGATCCCGCGAGCGGGATTCAAACCTAGGGCCCTTAGTCTCACGAGCGAACGCTTAACCTACTGGACCAGTGAGCCGCCATCCAATCCATTTGACCAAACACAGTAGTGTGTTTGTATCAGCAATAAAATCTGATTTAAATATCATATTTCATTTGCTACATATAGAATTACGTCATCTATTCATCGATAAAGTACTATACAATTACAAGATTGGCTTGGTAGTTAAGCCTTCGCGTGCAAGACTGATAGGTCCTAGGTTGAAATCTTGCAAGTCAGCATCATGGATATGCACTATCACCGAAGAATTCCACAATAGAACAAAAACGGCCATCCAGTACTTCCAGATTTTCCACAATGGTCCAACTTCAATTGACTTATTATACAATCAGAATTGACTCAAATTTATTGATTTATATTATGAGTCAATGAGTTCAAAGTACACAAAAAGAAATAATCAATTGAATTATTGATTTTATAAATTTAAATCACATTTATCACACATTAGAGTACTTATTTATTTGTGTGCTTGTAAATATACCTACACAAACGTACATATATATATATATATACATGCACAATACACATACATACGCACTGTATGCAGCAAATTGCATTCAATACAATGAAATAGTTTAAAGTTCCATACTATTTTTTTCTCTATTTTCTTTCAACAACAAAAATAAGTAGCTCATTTAAGTAATGTTTAATATGTAGTTCAGGTTTCTCATAGTAACATGTAAGTTGATCATTCATTTATAGTTTTTTTTTCTTAATATGACCATGTAAGGAGGTTGGTTATCGAACTATGGATATTGTAAATATAATCAATAGGTGGTGATCAGGATTTAGTAACTAAGTGGATAATGTAATGGTGTTAGAAAAGAACAGTTGGTCAGCTACAACGTAGGACCAGGCATATATATATATATATATATATATATATATATATATATATATATATATACATCGTTTCAAGTTGCCATATCGCATTAGCACAGAGAACACTATTGGGTTAGAATCCTGGAGTGAACATCAATTCTAGGATGAAGGTATATCCAGTTGATAAGTCATAAATAGGATGAAACACATATCTTGGTTTCTATTGTTTGCCATTATCTATCTTTGATTATAAAGCTTATGACTTAAGACAATATCAGGGCAGTCCTCAGAGGATGTACATATGTCAATAAGAGACTGATCAATTCTAGTTCTAAACATTGATGGGATGATATAAGCAAACAATACAGAGTAAATTTACAACCAACAACTTTTATAAATTTAGTGTAATGTGTAATAAGTAATTTTCTTAGATAATGATTTCACTATAAGGCATTAGTTTTCTAGGATAGTTCTATTTTCTATCTTATTCATTCTAATGTGTTACATATTTTGTACATTACTTACTTACTTAGGCCTGTTACTCCTCATGGAGGAGTGTAGACCGCTGACTAGCATTCTCTAACCAATTCTGTCATGGGGAATCATTGCCAGTTTTTTTCCAGTTGCTATTCGTTCTTTTAATGTCTGTTTCTAATTGCCGACACAGTGTGTTCCTTCTTTTGCATTTACAATCAGTATCTGGAGTTAGGGCGTGCTTTGGGATGAATTTTGATGGTTTCTGCAATATATATCCTATTCTCCTCCAACGTCTTTTTCTGATTCCTTTTTCAGTTAGATGCTGGTTTGTTCTCTCCTATAATAGGCAGCTTATTTTTTTTCTTTAGACTAGTTGAAGATGACATTTGTTTTATATTGTTGTATTTAACTATATTCTAATGTATTTCTGTCTCTCTCTTGATGAAGTTTTGTGACTAGTTAGTTTAGTTGTTCATTCTAAGTAAAACATCTATTAACATCTATTTGTAAACATGGTCCCAATATGTTAAGTTAGAAGGTATCATGATTATAACAAATAATGATCTTGTGTTTTCAATTCATAAACAGGATTTCATAGTTGATAGTTACAGGTCAATCATCGATCTGCATAAAACAAAATGGTGATCAGTTTCCATCTATACTTTCTTATTATATGTTGCACAGTGTTACAGTTTCAATGACAAAGCTTACTCTTTAAAATACCACTTTTAAGCTAAGGCAATGAAAAAAAAACAGCTGTAAAATGTTTGTTATCGATAATGCTTCGTTGTATAACTCTGACAGCTTCTAACTTCACTAAGAAATCCTCACTCTCTACACTATACACTTTTCAATAATTACGATCATATATAAGTAACTCGAAAATAAAAACTGAGTTATCTATCAATCAAAATGGGAATTGAAAAACTGTTACTATAGTCTAATTATTATACTCTGAAAAAGAGACAACTGTAGAAGCAGTGATTAGTGGAATTCAACCAGATCTATTGTGAGATAATAACTCACTGATGACAATTGTGAATGTGTCACTCAATTTCATGGATTAGTTGAAGTTTGACATTAACGCCGTTGGATCCCGACTGGCTCAGTGGTCTAATGGTTAATCTCTCGCATGCGAGACCGATAAGTCCTGGGTTAGAATCTCGCGAGACGGAATCATGGACGTTCACTTATGAGGAGTCCCGTAATGGGACGAAACGGCCATCCAGTACTTCCAGGTTTAACTTCAATTGACTCATGATCTCAACTATGGAAACTGTATAGCATCCAATAGAGAAGGAAACATTACATATAATGATTTATGAAGATGACACAGTTCGTAAATTCAGTGATCGGAATGATCTAGTATAGAAAATCTAAAAATAATAAACAAATAACTTACTTACTTACGCCTGTTACTCCTCATGAAGGAACATACGACGCTCACCAGCATTCTCCATCCAACCCTGTCCCAAGCAATCCTTTCTAGCACCTTACAGTTGTCATTCGTCTTTTCATATCTGCTTCTATTTCCCTACATAGTGTGTTCTTTGGCCCTCCTATTTTCCGCTTCCCTTTAGGATTACGAGTTAGGGCTTGTCTCGTGATGCAGTTCGATAATTTGTGTAATGTATGTTCTATCCATTTCCATCGTCTTTTCCTAATTTCTTCTTCAGCTGGAAGCTGGCTTATTTTCTCCAGAGAAGGCTGTTACTGATGGTATCCGGTCAACGGATATTGTGTATCTTGCGTAAACAATTATTTATAAATACTTGTATATTCTTGATTGTGGTGGTTGTAGTTCTCCAAGTTTCAGCTCCGTACAGTAGAACTGTCTTGACGTTCGTATTGAAGATTCTCACTTTGATATTGGTTGAAAGTTGTTTTGAGTTGCATATGTTCTTCAATTGTAGGAATGCTGTCCTTGCTTTGCCAATCCTCGCCTTTACGTCTGCATCTGAACCTCCTTGTTCATCGATGATGTTTTCCATGTATGTGAAGGATTCTACATCTTCCAGAATTTCACCAACATGAGTGATTGGATTGCTGTTCTCTGTTTCGAATTTGAGGATTTCGGTTTTCCGGATCAGCAACACTCTGTTAATGACTTTCCCTGGTAGTGACAGTAGTGTAATGCCTTATAACTTGTTATTGAAACAATCAACAAGATGTACATAGCAACATTTGACATTTTTAGTATTTCTTTAATCGAAATTGTAATGTTGATAATAATTTTTAAAAAAAAAAAACATTTCATAATCAATATTCATAACTGACTAAATAAAGTTTTATATAAGTACCCTTAATAATATATTGATTTTTAGATCTCTCTTAGTTTCACTTTTAGATCAATAATAAACTATTGATTTTTCATGTTAGATTATTAGAAAGAGAGAGAGAGAGAGAAAGACTCTACAGGTATAAATGAATTATATAATTTAGTTCATGTAAAGCGTGATAGAAATTCATTCAATGTTAGGATATTTATATACTATCCTAAGGAGTGTTTTTAGCTGACTAGCTTATTCGGTTGTTGTTGTTGTTGTTGTTGTTGTCTGACAGTTTTATTCTTTGCATCATTTTATATGTATGAATAGACTTAAAGTATAATCTTATTGATGGCAATACTCGACTGTGTGTGATACCTTTATATAGTGGTAGGGTTTTCTCATTGTAATAACCTGATCATGGTATACTTACTTACTTTTTCTGGTAAGCGTTTTTTTAGCGAGTTAGTTTTCTACGGGATGGGGACGTTAACCCCATGCCCAACCCTCCTCCTTTACCCGGGCTTGGGATCGGCAGTAACTCTAGAAGAGCTACAGGTGGAGTTGGTATACTGGTTGGAATATTGGTTCCTTTAGATCCTATCATACCAGGTAGGTTGGTTGAAGAGTGGTTAGTGTGAATTTAGTAAGTAAAGATGAAGTTATGCTATTACTATTCTGAAGTGTGACGGCAGTTGGTTGTTCGCCTTAAACATTGAACGTTTACAGTAATACTTCCTTCCTACAATGGAAGAAGGAGGTTAAAAAAGATTGACCCTAAAATATCACTCTTCATTTTACCTCAGAGAACATTTGTCATAAGAAGTATAGCAACTTGTAGACGCATTGTATGATAGTTACAAATCGTATTTATAGACTGAATACATCTAATAAACGGTCAATCAAGGCACAATCAGAGGTCAACTGAACAATACGGTCACTCTGAATATAAAGACAAATGAAGACGATGAAACCTACATGAACAATCACTTACAAACAAGGGTATAAGGGCGAAATTGATGCGAGGCTTGTGAAAGCTTACGTTTACATGAAGTCAACTCTGATAATATTGTTTAAAATCACAATTAAAGCTTCTTAGTTTAGGTGTCTAATTCATAAAACTTGAACATACCAAAAAACTAGTCACTCACTCTAGTTTTGATTATTTCGTTTGTTTTATTTATTTATTTGAACACATAGATATTGCTACAAAGAGGTACCGAATACATATGCGCCACACAGATCTCATTTGATATGTATGAGGGTCGTGATACTTCCCGGGTGTCCAAACCAAAGCAGATGGTTTTCTTAGGGACCACACCTGGGGCCTTCGACCTGAAGGTCTGATCCACAAAGCAGTGGAGCATCGTAAGGTGATGCAGTCTCATGGTAGCCGGTGACCAATACTTGGTTCATACGCCATTTGTTCCCTCACGATTCTGGAGCCGATGTACACCATTGGTTTTGGATCAGGGTTTTTCAACTCCCCTAGAGAGATCCTCCATATCCACCAACCCGGTTAAAGCACCGGACATTCGCTTTTCGTCCTCTTAATTTCGTAAACAACACCCGTGGTTTAAGAATGCAGAGAGTAGGAATTCCCTGGCAGAGGTTATATACCCGTGGCTATGTGGGAGCATTTGGAGAGGGAGAGAGAACCCTACCCACTCTCGTCCATACCAGGGCGTTTGGGAGCTACCACTTGATGAATCTCTAGCTTTGCAAACTTTAGTTATTTCCAATTTCTACAACAGGTTTTGGTATTACACTTTACCCATAGATTTGCATAAATATAGTTTTCAGTGTTTTGTGGTTGAGATAATCGAATGAAAACTTTAAATCGAGATTTCGTATCAGTAGTTTTGAAGGAACTAGTACTTCAACTTCACAGTCTGGAGCGTTCCCAACCAGCAATTCGAGCAGTGATTAATCTTCTACATGGTTGAAGTATTTACAGTTGATCGATAGGGTCTGATTAGCACTGAAAGAATTAATATGAATGGCATTGATCAGTTCTCAGTGATCTATCAATTTTAAACAGCTTACAATATTCTAATACCTAAGTGAATAAAGCATAAATAAGTCATTTGTACCTTCAGTTTATGATGAGAAACATGGTATTTCATGAAAGAATTTCAATGCTAATGTCCAGTAGAATATGGTAATCCAAATTTGTCGAAAACATTATAGTTATTCATTCAGTTATAAACAACATGGAATTCAGCACATAAGTGGATCGATTCATATTACTTTGCTAAATCAACAAACACTGAGATGATCATAGGTGTTTTCGAAGCATTGCTCGTACATCCTGAGACTACCGAGTAAGTAACGCAGTTGTTAAGAAACGGGTACTAGGATGACAAATCAATTGATGAAGTAGTGAAACTTCATCAGTTGAGATGGCTGGAACATGTGTTACGTATGCCCGACCATCGACTGCCTCGATGTACGATGTTCAATGGTATAGAAGTAGATTGGAAGAAAGCTAGGGGCGGCCAGACCAAAACATGGCACAAGTCCATGAAGTCACTGACAAGTAGACTGAGTCATATTGGTAGGTGTAGACTACCTGGTTGGGGACCACGAGATGATAGCAACCGATGATTAGAGACCCTGAATGACATGGCTCAAAATCGTTTGCAATGGCGCAGGTGCATCCACTCTTTTTGTTCTCCCAAATTCTAATCTTCTGAATTCTTCATGTCCCTTTCTTTTTTCTCTTTCCAAATTTACTGAATAACATATTCAAACCCTAGTCTTTCCGATTACTGCTTGTACTTTTACTACCTCTACCACTATGAGATTTGAATTGACAGTTGTATCTCTGTGATAATGTGGTATGGCAACTTGAATTGAAGTACCTACATGCGAATTTCTACATCGTTGCTGATTGAGTGAATGAGTATATTCCATGGTAGTAAGAGAAAAGACTCGGCACAGGAGAAAAAAAGGATAAAATTTACAGAATTGAAAGAAACGGAAACTATTTTATCATCTTTAAATGCAGGATTCAAGTAAATACAAAAAGTGTGTACGTCTATATTATTCCGATTGATTACAAATCATGTCACCCAATGTTTCTAACTCCTAGTTACAACACAATACGAAATAGCTCAAAACCCCCTCTGATATTAATCAACATATGCTCACTAGTGACTGGCTTCAAGATGTATATCCTGTAGTTATAGTGAAAAGCAGTAACCAGTGAAGTTCAACTGCGTCTGATGTAATATGCTAATGAACTGAAGACAATAGTGGGCAGTGACCCAATTTCATGGATTGGTTGAAGTTAAACACTAACGCTGTTGGATGCCAGATGGCTCAGTGGTCTACAAAGTAAGCGCTCGCGCGGGAGACTCATATGTCCTGGGTTCGAATCTCGCGAGGCGGGGTCATGGATGCGCACTGTTGAGGAATCCTACACTAGAATGAAACGGCTGTCCAGTGCTTCGAGGTGTTCCATAGTGGTCTAACTTCAATTGACTCATGATATCAACTATTGTAATCAATATTTATGAAGAATAAGAGTACTTCAGAAAAAAAATAATCATTAGTTATAATTGTGTTTAAATTCTATATTGTTCAACAATTAATTAAGATTGATCCATTTGAAAATTTTAAAGAAAGTAACAGTGTAACGTGTAATTAATTACTAATTGTGCAACTATGTAATTGTGTCTGTGTGCTAATGTATGTCTATGCATATGTATGTGTGTATGTCGTTTATTTTTTTTCTCATTGACAAAAACCTTCCGCCTATACATTTTCTTTCTTGTGTTTACTAAAGTGTGCTGTTTCGCTCTCTCGCTCGCTCACACACACACACACACATTTTTCTTGTTGCCACCATCCAACACCCCTCTCCTTCCTGTCTATTTATGTATTGATTTGTAAGTGTTTTTTATTCTTTTAGAAAGTTTGTTTATTTTATTCCACCCATGATTAGTCAATAAATATGAAAGAACAACAAATGACTTCATAAGTATTACTATTATTAGATTATAATTGTTATTATTAATTTGTTTATTTATTTCAGATTATTTATTGAACATGAATGATAATTTGATGTGAATTAATTGTATATTAGATTTTTTTTTAAAAAAAAATAAGATCAGATCATTCTAGTTGTCAACAAAAGAAAACAAACAAATCACCATCATCATCATCACCACCACCATCATCGTCATCACCACCACCACCACCACTATCAACAACAACGACTTAGATCTAATGCTGATCATTCTACAAATCAAACACAAACATTTTATCTAACCAGAATTTCATCCAATTTCTTACTTCATTGACTACATATATATAGATGGATTTTAAGGGAATTTGATAAATTATATAAATGGTAATACAAATGATTGATCATTTATTGATTTTCTCTTTATTATTATGTCCAATAATTATTTGGGCTCAATTATCATCATCATCATCAACATTAATGACTACAATTTCTCCTGTAAAATTAATTAATTCTAAAATAATTTATTCAATGGATATGAATCCAATTGGAATATGTCAACCACCATGTTTAAATAATGGAATATGTCGTCGTGATCGTCATCCTCATAGTAATACTAGTAGTAGTAATAATGATAATTTAAAGGAAAATGATTCAAAATGTATTTGTACACCAGATTTCAAAGGGATTGATTGTAGTGAAGGTAAGTATGATATAATTATTGTTGAAATATAACCTTGTGGGTGTGTGTGTATTTTGTTGATGAAATTTTGAAAAGATACTTTACTAATAAGAAATTATGGGTGTGAAACAAGTCAGATTATGATGTTAATGTTGAAGAGTCCCACAATAAGACGAAATGGTTGTCCAGTGCTTCCACTTTTCCATAGTGGTCTAACTTCAACTGAACCATGATATCAACTATTCATGATTCAACTATCCAGTGCTTCCAGGTTTTCCATGGTGGTCTAGCTTCAATTGACTCATGATTTTAACCAGTGAAATTTCTAAAATCTCCACAAACCCTTTCTGATAATAATCATCTGCTCACTGGTGACCGACTTCAAGAGATATTCCTGAAGTTCTAGTGAGAAGCCGTTACCCGTGGAGTTCAGCTAGGTCGGTTGTGAGAAATCAACTCACTGAAGACAATGGTATACGTGGCGCAACTTCGTGGATTGGTTGAAGTTAGACATTAACACCATTGGACGCCGGCTTAGTGGTCTAGTTGTTTAAGCGCTTGGCGCGAGACTGATAGGTCTTGGGTTGGAAACTCTCGGAGTGCGGGATCGTGGATGCGCACTGCTGAGGAGTCCCGTAATGGGACGAAACGGCCATCCAGTCCTTCGAGGTTTTCTACCCCCACCCTCCCTTATGGGAAGGCAGCATCGCTGCTATGGTGGTTGTCTGAAGGAAACACCTTACTGCTGTCTGTGCAGTCAGCAGAACGATATTTCCCTCGGACCTTGGGTTTGCTGCTTTTAGACTTACCGCTCTTCAACCGACCTGTCTGGCATGGTAAGATCTTGAGAAACGATTGTTCCAGCCAGTATAGCTCGATTAATTAATCACGATAGCCAAGCCCGACCACCACGTCAAGTTAGCATCAACGGTCGGGTCGTTACTAATACATTCATACCTACTGAGTAAGTTACTGTTTATCTGGGATCAGTTACTTACTGAATAATGCAGTGGTCATTCAAATCAAGGTACTGGGTATCCTGATTAGGATGATCATCATTTAGAGGAAAGTACATCTGACAGACTAATCCCAAGAAGATCAAAAAAGCATTTTGAATTTCAGTACTCACTACTATCCAACTTTTTTAAAAAAGTCTTCATTTGATTGTGATTTTTTTTTATCTCTTGTAACAAAATATGTACATTCATAAAAACTAGGTATGTTTCATAATTAACTAGAGGTAATTTGACACTAAGTACAGTTATTATTATTAGTGAACTGTATAATTTGACTTGCTAGCCAACATTCAAGTCGACCAAATTAGTGACTTAATTTCTACTTATTTAACAAGTAAACTGTTGTGACTTTAAGCCTGGCTAATTATCACATGATTTATTCGCCAATCGAAATACGACTTATACAATCTTAACATTGTGCCAAACCAATGATGTATCGACCAGTATGAGCAACCTAGCATCCATATTGACTCTTTTCCCTCCCAACATTTTCAGTTGAGTTCAGAACACCAATATCACCTTCCACTAAGCAAATCATTCATTTCAAACATACTTACTTGATTTATGTACCAGTCAAACAGACTGTATCACACCATAAAATAGGAACTAACATTTGTACAAGATCAAGCCAAGAGTTAGCTGTGAACGTGAGAGGCTGTAATCAACATATGCCCATGTACAGCCGAGAGTGGGGAGAGTCATCTCTCTTTCCCCAAATGCTCTCACATGATCACGCATATATAGCCTCTGCCAAGGAAGTCCTAATCACTGCCTGCTCGCGGCATTATTGTTGTTTACGAATTGAGGGGATGAAAAGCGAATGTTCGTCGCCTTAACCGAGTTGGTGGACACGGAGGGTTCACCTAGGAGAGTTAAATCCTAGGGAAACAAATGATATATTATTGGTCACCGGTTACCAAGGGACTGCATAACCTGACGTTGCTCTACTGCCTTGTGGATCAGATCTTTAGGTCGACGGCTACTGATGTGACTCCCTAAGAAAATCACCTTTTTCGGTACGGGCACCCACACAGTATCCCATCCAACACAAAAATAAAGTGAATTGTGTGGCGCATTCGTATTCGTTGCCCCCTTGTACCAATATTTATGTGTTCAAGTCAAGTCATATTATCCTTGATGCTAATCGAATCATATAGATCAAATTGTAATGTGCTCACTGTTAGTCTAAACGGTTTTGACATCACGTGTACATATCTTAAATGTCATGTAATCAGATGTAGTTGGTGAAAGACTCGGCTTGACTTGAGTCTCTCACTATTTGACATTAGTCATCACAGGTCAAACTGAGAAGATCTAATGTATTTGGAGAGATTAGAATGTCATGTCAACCAGCTTCACAGTTTGAGACATCGTTACTGAGCTATTCGAGTCATAACTAACCTCTATTATAAAGCTGAGATACAATGAGTGATTACTGAATAGTAATAAATGTATTTGTTTAATCATTATTGTTGATTTAATTCTCTATCAATCCATTTGTAGCATAACTACTAGTCTTAATGATTTGAACTTGTACACAGTATTGTTTGGATCTGAAATGATTGAAAGTAAAAGTAAGAAGTTTTAGGCATAGCCTTAGCGAGAAGTGTAATATTGTCGACAAACATATATATGAGAGAACATCAATAAAACTTTTAAAATATTCACAGACTACCATTCTCAATGAAAGTGTTTATGAGGTAGTAACTCACTGAAGACAATGATGGATGTATCGCTCCATTTCGTGCATTACTTGAAGTTAAACATTAACACCATTAGTTGCCAGCTGGTTCAGTGATCTAGAAGGAAGGTGCTCGTGCGTGAGACTGATAGATCCTGTATTCGAATCTCGTGAGACGGTATCGTGGATGCGCACTGCTAAGGAGTCCCACAATAGGACGAAATGTCCATCCAGTACTTCCAGGTTTTCCATAGTGGTCTAACTTCAACTGACTCATGATCTTAACTATTGTTAATGCTTATATCAATTGCAGATTACTATTTCTTTTTAATTTTAGAAACCTAGTCAAGTACTAGGATAATTTTATTTACAAGGAAAAGTAAAGGATAGAGAACTACAATATGTTGCATAATATAAAGATCATGTTTAAGAATATATATGGATGTGAATGTAAACTACATTCAAGTAGGTTAAGCGTTCGCGTGTGAGACTGAAGGTCGTGGGTTCGAGTCGCGTGAGCGGGATCGTGGTTGCGCACTGTTGAGGAGTCGCACAATAGGACGAAACGGCCGTCCAGTGCATCCAGTTTTTCAATGGTGGTCTAACATCAATCGTTCATGATCTCAATCAAAAAAATTCAAGTTTTTACTTGAATTACACCTAAATGATAGCATGATAACAATAAAGAGAATATGTGATAAGATGATATAACAAGAGATTACTCTAATGATAATAATAATAAGATAATAATCACATGTTTTAACAATGATTTGTGATATCTAATTGTCAATATTTAAGACTATAATAGATTAGTTTCTATTGCTCTTTATTGTAACCTGAATAATTTGACGTGACATAAAGCTGTATTGAGGCAATGGACTTATGATGTAACAGGGACAGAGAGAGAGTGATCAATGGTAATGTTAAATATCAATAAATTGAAACTAGAAATCCATACTGATTGAACAAATGAATGATATTCTAGATTTAGTTGTTTATTAAATAGCACATTAGGTGTTTGATAAAAAAAGTACTAGATTCATGTGGTTATATGATCCTAAACTCTGAGATAAAGAAGAAATCTAGCTGATGAGTTGTATGTAAGACAGAATTCAGTAATCAGTGAGCTATAACGTAGGATCAAACACATATGTGCATTGATCCAAGCTGTCATACTTCATTAGCACAACAAGATGAACAACGGATTCATAGAAGTATTTAATTCAGTGGTTGTAATATATAAAAGAAAGATTGCACATCAGAATGTAGTAGAGGAAGAGAGAATTAGTTCGTGGAAAGAAAGATATGAAGCTATTTTAATCTCACAATTTAAGGGAAGACAGAGAGTGTTGTATACACCGACGCCATTGTAATCGATTCTGAGCCATATCACCAAGAGTCTCCAACCATTGGTTACGATAGTCACGTGGACCCCAAACAAGTATTTTGCATCTACCAACATGGCTCAGACTACAAGTTAGTGACTTCAAGCACTGATGCCATGTTTTTGTTTGGCCACCCCTAACTTTCTTCAAACTATTTGCAACACCGGTTAGCATTGCACGTCGTGGTAATCGGTGTTCAGGCATACGTAACACGTGGCCCAACCATCTCAGTCGATGAACATTCACAACCTCACCAACTGATTTACCATCATTCCCTGATACCCTGCGTCTAACCTCACTATTACTTACCCGGTGATCCCAACAGACGCCAGAAATATTTCTTAGGCATCTGTGGTCGAATACTAGTAGCTTACGAGTGTCTTCTACTCTTAATGGCCATGTTTCGCTGCCGTAAATTAAAACAGAATGGACTGCCGCGCAGTATACTCGTCCTTAATTGACAGACGGATATCTCACCTTCGCCGGAGATGCCGTAGTTTGACAAAAGCCAAACGAGCTTTTCGAATCCGTGCTGAGATTTCGTCAGACACCAACCCATTAGGGCTGATCAGACTTCCAAGATATGTGAAGTTTTCAACGTGTTCGACTACTTCACACCCTATCCTTAGTTTGGATGTTGACGCAGGCCAGTCCTGATTTTACACAGTTAACCACATACCAAGTATGCTAAAATGCTATATGTTTTAATTTCATTAGTAATATTTTTGAACTATCTGACTGTTGATATTTTGACTGAATTGTAATCGGTCTTAGTTCGTATGTACGTATCATATGGGAATCGCTTCGATACACTTATCATAACACAAATTATCATGAAATAGGTAGGATATGGATAACAGTGAACTTCAGGATGCGTTTTTTTGATCCTGTTTAGAACATCAAATCTGGGATGCCGGGATATCCTGGCTGACGAGTTCCAAATAGGTCAAATCGCGTGACCTGAGTTCTACTGCTGTTGGGTAAAGGTCAGTATTTTTACAAAAACTAGAAATATAGTTGATTGACTTACTTAATAGTTATAAACAATAATTCTAATTAATGCAGAATTTTTTAAATGAAATGCTATTGTAGTGAACAAGATCACAAGTGGGGACAATAGAATATATTTCGATACAAAATTATAGAACATCTTAGTAAAATCTGAGAATTGTACATTAGATTCTTCATTCACAAAATCTCAGAGATTCGTCTTAGACTTCATTGTTCCTTCATTTCCAAAGCAATCATAGTCTGTTCTCGTTCTCTTTTCTTTGATCATCTTGACCCTCTGCTACTAGGCATTTCACTTTCGATTGATGATGCATACTGTGGTGTGTGCTACTGATGTCGACAGATATAAGTAGTATGTATCATCAATCGAAAGTAAATCGCCTAGAGGCAGAAGTTTAAGGAGATCGAAGGGAAGAGGGTGAGAACAGAGAATGATTGGTGTGAAAATGACGAAAAAATAAGTACTGAGACGATTGATTAACATTTTGGAAATCAATTATTTACTGTGTGGTTCCCAGAGTTTACGATGTTCTGTAATTTTGTATTCAAATACATTCGATTGTCCCCACTTATGATCTCGTTCACTACAATACTACTTATCTCTGTCAATATCAGTAGCACACACCATACTATCACTTAAATTTTAATGTAAAACAGAATTATCACACAAAATTTCTCATACGCTAAATGAAAGAAATGCCTGATAAATGTCTATGAATAAACCTCTTCTGTCCTGAAGTTTTGTGAATTTTTATCCATCTGCGCTTAAAATGCTCGTAACTTAAAGTAATATCTAGGCAATATGCACAGTATGCACATATGCCAATAAGAGAATGATCAATTGCAGTCCTAAGTATTAATGAGAAGACTTCTATCTGACATTTATGTTGATGATGTCGTTCAGAATAATGATAAAAGCTCCACAAACAAAATCATCCAGCTCAGAGAACAAAACTCTATCAACAAAAAGATTCAAGCAAATAATATCAAGTGAATTTAAACTTCATCCCATTGCACAAGCAGGTGGCTAAGTGGATAACACGATGGCGTTTAAGGCGAACTATGCCGAGTTCGAGGCCTGGAGTGGTCGTCTACTCAAGGATGCAGGTAAATCCAGTTGGCGAGTCCCAATAAGAATGAGATCTAAAGAATATAGGGAAGGGGAACTAGGGTCTAGGAATTATGATATTTAGTTAGTTGATCATTGAGAAATAATCTTTTTGGACAACTAGTGAACTAACCGACGTCTGAACCATCTTGCTAATTGTATCAGTAAATCATATTTTGTCGATATCTTTTATTATAATAAACTGATATCAACACTCAATCTAGGACTTTAGAATCTGTGAAAACGACTGAAGGTTAGTCAGTCAGCTACAACGTAGGATCAGACACATATATGCATCGATCCAAGTTGCAATACCTCATTAACACAACAAGATGGACACTGAGTTCATAGATGTAGTTAATTCAATAGTGGTAATATATAAAAGAATGATTTTGTATAAGGAAATAGTACAGGAAGAAGGAATTAGTTGGTAGAAAGATATGAAGCTATTTTAATCTCATAGTTTAAGGGAAGACAGAGTGTTGTATACACCGACGCCATTGTGATCGATTCTGAGCCATATCATCTAGAGTCTCTAACCATTGGTTACGATAGTCATGTGGACCCCAAACAAGTATTTTGCATCTACCAACATGGATCAGACCAGAAGTTAATGTCTTCAAGTACTGATGTCACGTTTTGGTTTGGCCACCCCTAACTTTCTTCCAGCTATCTCCAACACCGGTTGGTGACGACTGATGTGTATATCTCATTTTATTACACATTGAATATAGTTGGAAATGTTTATAAATACACATCAATCCAGTGACATGATATTATTACGGTTTCTGTAAGGCCTGAATGTTTTGACAGCATGTTGATAAACAGTCCCGAACTTGAACGAAACGAATGTCCAACACTTTCTACTTTTCAGTTAATCCTATAAACTATTGATATAAAAGGTTTGCAGAGATTTTTCAGTTTCATGGTTTACATAACTAACTGACATTATTAAGATCTTCAGGTCTCACAGTGAGCGATTAACCTTGTGGCATTTAGTTAACATCAAGCAAACAAAATTTACAATTTCAAGTCAAAATACTGTGATCAAAGTTAGAAATATAGACCGTTGGATGTTATCGTATTGATCTAAAGATTAGACACTCATCATATAACTTGAAGGTCATGATTTGATGGAGTTTTGTTCTTTGAGCTGGATGGTTTGGTCGTGAAGTTTTCATCATTCTTCTGAACAACACCATCAGCACAAACTTCAGGTTGAATTCTTCATCATCTCAAGGTCATGAATTTGACCCCTTGTAAGTAATGTAGTCAAGACCGTATACTTCGATGTAAAAAAGCCCTCCAGTATTTCTCAATTCTAAATGTTTGTCTAGCTAATATCATTACATCATGTAAACAAAGAAACTTTCTAAGTATTTTTTTGAATTTCTATTCGAAAGTTCCTTTTTTTTCTTCCTTCATTGTATTATAAGAGGCAGAAACAGATTTAACAAATTGTCAAGAATCAACATGTAAATATGGTGGAACATGTGTTGGTACATCAAAAACACCAAAATGTTTATGTAAAGATCATACACGTGGGAAACGATGTCAAAGACGTAAGTTAACGGTTAACATTCATGTATTATTATCAACTGAGATGTTTGTTAATTAGTAGATTAGAGTTTTATTAATGATCCAAAAAATTAAAAAAGACTAGAGACAAATATCTACCTCAGCACAATGGATGATGGTCGCGCAATTTCGTGGATTGGTTAAGGTTAGACATTAACACTGTTGGATACCAGTTCAGTGATTTAAATGTTAAGCGTTCGCACATGTGTTCGAAGGTCCCGGGTTCGAATCCCGTGAGCGTGATCGTGGATGTGTATTGCTGAGGAGTCCCATACTAAAACGAAACGGCCACCCAGTACTTCACCAGACAATACCAGTTTCTAACAGATTACAGTTACGTCATTCTTACGTGTATCAACTAGTATAAGATCTAGATGGAACAAGGGTTTCCAGCTGATCACCTTAAACCATTCAACACCTCAAAATAGTAAAATGATGTCAAGTAACTCAAACTAGTATCTGCATTTCAGCTTGATTGATTGAATTCGATCAGCTCTAAATGTTGGACAAGTATAGCATTGACCAGTACTCAGTGACCAATCAGTTCAAAGGTTGATTAATCTTGTGTAGAGATAAATATGTCCATTTACCATCCAGTAAATGGTAAGTAAGTAGGTACAATTTTAATGTTAAGTGATTTAATATAATCTTCGATGCAGATTCCATGTTAGTTGTTACACCTTAACCAAATTGTTAGTCCAATTTCTTGGGGGAGGGGGTGTCGGTTCCTTTAGCAAGATTTCAACAGACCTCACTCAATTCCCAAATCAGAGATATTATCATTGAATATTTCGGCTAAAGACTAGCATGTATGTTTGAGATAGAATAGATAATCAATGAACAATGATCGATAATCTATAGCACAACTTAACTGAAGTTTGAACTGGACCATCGGGTAAAGATCTAATGATTTAAATGGTTGAGTGTTCATTGGTAGATCTAGAGATCTTAAGTTCAATCAGCAATTATTTATGGGTGAGCAACTATGGCGACTTCAATACTGAGATAAAATGAGAGTCCATCGCTCGATTGTTTTCAGTGATACTACATCTGACGAATACAACCTACGAATATAACTATCGTTGATCTTATTTAAGATCAAATGAACATAACCTTTTTCGGATGGTTCAGATTATTTATAGAGAACTTCCAATGAACTGTACGATTTATTGGGATTTACAAGGAAATGCATTTACGTTAAATTTGTTCGAAAAATCTCAAACAGAAAGTAAAAAGCATTATAAGTAAGGTGGCTAGTAATAGAATCCAAGACTGCTAACCATCATTCATCTCTGTTTATAATGTTTGTGAATTAAAGCAATGTCTAGGCAATCCGCACAGGATGTACTCACAATTGATTGATCACTAGGTGCTGATCCATGTCATGTGTGTCAGGTCCTTCTTAGTGCAGATCAAATGCTATTGACCAAGTTGTAATGTGGCCACTAGTCTAAGTGATTCGACATTGCGTGTTATACGTTGAGAGATGGTAGTTGGAAGTAATCTAAAGGAAAGCCTGAACCCAGTTTTCGTGCTATTTGGCACTCGTCAGCAAGATGTAATTGTAATCTTGAGGAAACTGGTGTTTTCTGACGGATTCGATCCCACCATATTATCTCAACATAATGCCCGCAATGTCGAGTCAACTAAACTAGTGGCCACATCGCAACTTCGTCAGTAGCATTCGATCTGCACTAAGAAGGACCTGACACACACGATATTGATCATCACCCAGTGATCAATCAATTGTGAATACAACTCAGACCAACAGGAGGTCAGTCGCGGCCCGGATAGTCCAGTGGTAACATCTCTGGCTGTGAAGCTGATTGACACGAAATCAAATCCGTCAGGGAGTACCAGCTTCCTCAAGACGACAATTATCAGACGCCTAACTATGACTCGTGAACTGCAAACACGAGAGAACCAAGCCGGCTTCAGACCTGGTCGTGGCTGCATCGACCACATATTCACCATTCGTCAGGTTCTAGAACATAGGCATACTTATCGGCGTCCGACAATGGTGGTCTTTCTTGACTTAAAAGCAGCATTTGACTCGGTAGACCGCGAGATTCTGTGGCAGTGTCTGTCATTGAAAGGCATACCTCAGAAGTACATAAACCTTGTAAAGGCTCTTTACTCGAACACTACCAGTCGAGTCAGGACCTATGGCGAATTGTCATCTGCTTTTGCAACCTCAAGTGGTGTCCGTCAAGGCTGTCCACTTTCTCCATTTTTGTTCAACTTCATCACAGACCTATTGATATAAATAATATTCTCGTCTACTGAATTCTCGGGTATTGATCTCCTTCCAGGAGGTACACTTATCGACTACGAATACGCGGATGACACAGTCCTGTTTGGTGAAGACGCTGATAAAATGCAGAGTCTTTTGGTAGCACTAAGCAACAATGCCAGAATGTTTGGAATGCGCTTCTCTCCCTCTAAATGCAAGTTGTTGCTTCAGGACTTGTCTGCGTCAACATCGAACTAAGGATAGGGTGTGAAGTAGTCGAACACGTTGAAAACTTCACATATCTTGGAAGTCTGATCAGCCCTAATGGGTTGGTGTCTGACGAAATCTCAGCACGGATCAGAAAATCTCGTTCGGCTTTTGCCAAGTTACGTCACCTATGGAGAAGGCGAGATATCCGTCTATCAATAAAAGGACGAGTATACTGCGCGGCAGTCCATTCTGTTTTAATTTACGTCTGCGAAACATGGCCATTAAGAGTAGAAGACACTCGTAAGCTACTAGTATTCGACCACAGATGCCTAAGAAATATTTCTGGCGTCTGTTGGGATCACCGGGTAAGTAATAGTGAGGTTAGACGCAGGGTATCAGGGAATGATGGTAAATCAGTTGGTGAGGTTGTGAATGTTCATCGACTGAGATGGTTGGGCCACGTGTTACGTATGCCTGAACACCGATTACCACGACGTGCAATGCTAACCGGTGTTGCAAATAGTTTGAAGAAAGTTAGGGGTGGCCAAACAAAAACATGGCATCAGTGCTTGAAGTCACTAACTTGTAGTCTGAGCCATGTTGGTAGATGCAAAATACTTGTTTGGGGTCCACGTGACTATCGTAACCAATGGTTGGAGACTCTTGGTGATATGGCTCAGAATCGATTACAATGGCGTCGGTGTATACAACACTCTCTGTCTTCCCTTAAATTATGAGATTAAAATAGCTTCATATCTTTCTTTCCACGAACTAATTCTCTCTTCCTCTACTACATTCTGATGTGCAATCTTTCTTTTATATATTACAACCACTGAATTAAATACTTCTATGAATCCGTTGTTCATCTTGTTGTGCTAATGAAGTATGGCAACTTGGATCGATGTATATATGTGTCTGATCCTACGTTGTGGCTGACTGACTGACTGACTGACCGTTTCCTCAAGATTATGAGTATATCTTGCTGACGAGTGCCAAATAGCACGAAACCTGGGTCCACGGTTTCCTGTTGACTGCCTTCAACCGCCATCTTATCGCACAGGATGTAATTTGTTTACTACTGTTTACTACTGTTATCTATGTCTGTATGTTTCTCTGCCTTTTTTAAATTTTTCAGATGACCTTATATTTATCGTAGAACTTAAAATATACGATAATGGTAAAGAAGCTGTCTGGCAAAAAGACTTTGAAGATAATTCAAGTTATTTATCTACCATTAAAGCATTAGATGTTTGTAAACTTGTAAGTTTTAATTGAAAGTTTTCATTTTGATAAATAATTAAATCAGGGAGGGTTTTTCTGGGTATTATAGTAATTTGTTAGTTGAACTCATGAGTCAATGAAGCTAAATCACCATGGAAAATATGGAAGCACTCGACGGCCGTTTTGTTCTAGTATAGGCCTCCTCAGCAGCGTTCATCCACGATCCCTACGGTATTAAAAAAACCGTAATCATTTTAAATGGAATAATAGATATAACTAAAGTAAGTCAAGTTTTAAGCAGAGATGGATGGTGGTTAGCAGTAGAGTACAGTACGCAAGTTTCACCCTATTTCGGACTCGGCAGCTGGTTGTACCTATATCCTGCAGTCTATGTTCACTGTGATACTTAAACTCAGTATTTTCAAATGTCATAATGTTATCTACCTAGTTACTGAATCCAGATAGTCACTGGTTTGTTCAATCAAGTGAATTTTAACTCCTATATATTGCTTGTTTTGATCTTACCTTTAATGTTTAGGACTGCAAATGATCAAATATCCACATATGCCGAAATACGAATTAATTGCAGTTCTAACCATTAATCGGCAGGTCTATTTACTCACTTGAGCTTGTTGCCTCTCTTGGAGGAACATAGGTCGCTCACCGGCATTCCCCATACAACTCTATCCTGGACAATCCTTTCTAGTTGTTTCCAGTTGCTATTTATCCTTTTCATGTCTGCTTCAAATCCCTGACGAAACATGTTCTTCGGTCTTCCCTTTTCTGTTTCCATTCGGGATTCCAAGTTAAGACCTGGCCTCATGATTCAGTCTGACAATTTCACAAATGTATGTCCTATCTACTTCCAACGATTTTTCCTCACTTCCTCTTCATTTGGAATCTGACTTATTCTATCTCACAGTAGGTTGTTTCTGATGGTATCCGGCCAACGAATATTGAGTATCTTGCATAGACAGTTGTTTGATGATGATTGTAGTAGCTCACAAAGTTTCAGCTCCATACAATAGGACTGTCTGGATGTTTGTATTGAAGATACTGACTTTGACATCGGTTGAAAGTTATTTTGACTTCCATAATATCTTCAACTGTAGGAATACCACCCTTTCTTTGACAATCCTTACTTCTAAATCTGCAACAACAACCTTGTTTAGACAGAAACGCTAACCACGGAAGGTCTAAACAACCATTATATATGAATTCAAATTAATCATTTTAACTGTTAGCATTGTTATCACTATTTACATCGATTTGTGCTTTTACTTAGTATGATTGCATATGTAATCTGTTTTATTGTTATAACTAGCTCATAAACTACCACCAATAGTTTATTATCTTTCACGTATACAGATAAGTATTACTATAGATTGGAATAGGGTGTGATACGGGTCTCTCTCTCTCTCGATATATATATATATATATATATATATATATATATATATATATATATATTAGCAAAGTAAATACTTCAGCTTGTCATCATCACAAACACCATCATCGTCAAGAAAGCAGTGACAAATCATTTAACTCAATAGTCTAATCATAAATAACATCATTTTCAGCATATTTGTTAGCGACATCATTGATAAATGAAAGTATATTGATTGTTTTCAGTTTAGGGTTGTAAAGATTATTGAATTTCATTAAGAATCTTACGCATGGAAATGTAGATGTCCACTGCTAATGAGTTCCACCCTAGGACGATATGAGCGTCTAATGCTTTCAGGTTGCCAATGATGATCCAATATCGATCGGTTCATGATTTCAATGATATACATCATTATTATTTATCAGTGAAGAGTATATCTATGTAACAGATATACATTCATTTGTGACAGATCGATTGAGTAGGAATTAAAAGCTACGGTTAGTTTCAGTTTGGGTACCATTGAAAACTATCCAGTACCGGATAACCAGTTCGTCTTAGTGTAATGAGCAAGAGAACATTTGGGGACGATCGAATGTAATTCAGCGCGAAATTATAGAATCTTTTATTAAAATCTGAGAACCATACAGTAAATTCTTCATTTGCAAAGTGTCAATCAATTGTCACAAACTTGACTGTTCCTTTTGCAAATATCAATCAATCGTCTCAGACTCCATTGTTCCTTCATTTCCACAGCAATCATTCACTGTTCTCGTTCTCCTTTCTTCTATCTTCCTAACCTTTTGTTCTTAGGCAATTCACTTTCATTTGAGGATACATACTACTTATATCTGTCGACATCAGTAGCACACACCACACTAATATTGAAATGCTCAGCAATAAATACTGATGACTACATAGGTGATCAAGACCTATAAGTAAATACGAATTAATTGACTGATATAAAACAGATTAGATAGAATATTACACAAACCTTTTAGGTATTAATTTTTTCAGTCTACATCTTGTTATCAACCAACCAATCTGTTATAACTGTAACTTTTATAGATATGACTTCATCCTACTTATTAATCAAAGTGGGTGTACAATCATTAGATAAATGAGAGTAATTTGAACTATCATCGTTGTCGTCGTCGTGTTCTGTGGTCAATAAATCTTCAATTATACCAGTGTTTGTGTTCTTACTTTCGTGTCTTAGCCATTTTGGTAGATTCAAACTAGTCGGTTGGAGTCCATGTGACTATCGTAACCAATGGTTAGAGACCCTGAATGATATGGCTCAGAATCGATCACAATGGTGTAGGTGTATACAACACTCTCTATCTTCCCTTAAATTATGAGATTAAAGTCACCTCACATCTTTCTTTCTACGAACTAATTCTTTCTTCCTGTACTTGTCTTTATATGCAATAATTCTTTTATATATTACCACTATTGAATTAACTACTTCTACGAATTCGGTGTTCATCTTGTTGTGCTAATGAGTTATGGCAACTTAGATCGATACACATATGTGGCTGATCCTACGCTGTAGCTGACTGACCAACTAACTAACTAAATGACTTTCTTGTCGTAAAAATTACACAATTCCCTCATTTCGAATATAAGTGATAAACATTTCTGACATAACAATCAGTGATGATCCGATATATAACAAGTAACGTCCATTTTGACAAGACACACCCCCAAATGCCCTGGTATAGCCGAAAGTGGGGAGGGCCAGCCCTCCCTCACAAAATGCTGTCACACGGCCACGCGTATACAGCCTCTGCCAGGGAAATCCTACTCACTGCCTTCTCGCACCACGGGTGTTGTTTACGAAAATGAGAGGATGAAAAGCGAACGTCCAGCGCTTTAACCGGATCCCAAACCATTGGTGCACATGGGCTCCAGTATCCTGTGGGAACAAATGGCGTATGAACCAATTGTCGGTCACCGGCTTCCATGGGACTACATCTCCTTACGATGATCCACTGCCTTGTGGTTTGGACCTTTAGGTCAAAGGCTCTGGGCGTGGCTCCCTAAGAAAACTACTTGCTTCGGTCTGGGCACCCGGGAAGTATCACAGCCCACACACGAACAGAATGAAATGATAATACTTAGGGAAAATAAAATAAATAATGACAAGACATATTCATAATCAATAATCAATATAGTCACTGATAATTTACTATTATAATCTTATTTCATCTACTTTCTTTTTCCCTGTTTGTTGTTGCTATTGTAATTTAGCTTAAACTAAGTATCATTCGTGGATCAACTATACAATTATCGAATTCATTTATTGATTGTTATTTAATTACTTATCATAAAATATCAGTCATAATTGAAGTTGCATTAATATTAGATATAGAATTATCATTAATTCCATTGATAAATTTAACATTAATACAAAATCAAATTATGACTGGATTAAAAACAATGGATCCAAGTTTAAATGAATTCAAAACCATTTCATTAGATGATATCATTTCTGGGAATTCATCAACGTTTAAAGTTCATGGTAAGTACTACTTATGATGAATATCAGTAATAATAATAATAATTTCAATAGTTGAGATCATGACTCAATCGAAGTTAGATTACCATCGAAAATCTGGAAGTATTCGATGGCTATCCACAATCCCGACTTGCAAGATTTGAACTCAAAACCTATCGGTTTCATGCACTCTAGTACGACCAAGAGTAGGGAGAGACTGTTCTCCCTCTTCAAATGCTCTAACATAGCCACACATATATAGCCTCTGCCAGGGAAGTCATACTCACTGGCTGCTCGGACTACGAGTGTTGTTTACAAAATCAAGAGAACAAGAAGCAAATGTCCGGACACGGAGGGTCCACCTGATTCTAAACCAATGGAATACATGGGATCCAGGATTCTGTGGAAATCAAAGGTGTATGAACCTATTGTTGGTCACTGGCTACCATGAGACTGCACCTCCTGACGTTGCTCCACTGTCTTGTGGATCAAATGTTTAGGTCGAAGGATTTTGGTGTGACCCCCTAAGAAAACCAACTTCTTCCGTTTGGGCACCCACACAGTATCCCATCCAACACAAAAATAAAGTGAATTGTGTGGCGCATTCGTATTCGTTGCCCCCTTGTACCAATATTTATGTGTTCAAGTCAAGTCATATTATTCTTGATGCTAATCGAATCATATAGATCAAATTGTAACGTGCTCACTGTTAGTCTAAACGGTTTTGACATCACGTGTACATATCTTAAATGTCATGTAATCAGATGTAGTTGGTGAAAGACTCTGCTTGACTTGAGTCTCTCACTATTTGACATTAGTCATCACAGGTCAAACTGAGAAGATCTAATGCATTTGGAGAGATTAGAATGTCATGTCAACCAGCTTCACAGTTTGAGACATGGATACTCACTGCTTAGGAGTCACATACTAGGATGAGGAATATAGTTTGAGAAGAAAGATATAAAGTATCAGATAACCTTTAGTAACACGAGTACAAGTGTTTTTGCGTTAATCATGATCAGTTTATGCTTCATAGTATTGTCGGTGACCTACAATCTCGTTTACAGATTCCTATTGACTTTTTCTAAAAATTCGATCATGAAGTTAGACTATGTACGCAAAACTAATAATTATTATTCATTGATAGTTACCTTTCTACGATGATTTCTTATAGTTTGAAAGTGAAATTTCATTGTTCTGGACTAATGTCTTATGAAGCATTGTTTTATTAAATGATCCTACAATCAGTCAAACTGAATTGCTATTAATAAGCAATAGTGAGGTTTATGGAAGTTACAACTGATTGACCACTGGATGGTGATCAATGTCATGTGTGTCAAGTTCTTCTTAGTGCTGACCGAATGCTATCGATCAAGTTACAATGTGGTCACTAATCTAGGTGACTCAACATTGTGTGAACTATGTTGAGATAAGATACACGTGACATTGATTACCAACCAGTGGTCAAATAATTGTGGATAAAACTCAGTCCGATAGGAGCTCAATTGCAACCCGGATAGCTCAGTGGTAGTGTCTCTGACTGTGAAGCTGGGTGATACGGGATCGAGTCCGTCAGGGAGTACCAGTTCCCTCAAGATTACAGGTACACTTTACTGACGAGTGCCACGTAGCACGAAACCTGGGTCCAGGGTCTCGTGCTGACCACCTCCAACCATCATCTAACTTATGGAAGTTATTGATATACCGACCTGAGCTGAACAACTATCGAAAGCACGGAAACATTGAACAGATGTTTTGTCCCAGTACGAAACTCTTCAGTAGTACTTATACACAACTTCACCATAGGGGATCAAACTCAAGAATTTCTATCATATGCTTAAACTCTCGACAACTCAAATAGTATCCAATAGTGTATATGTCCAACTTCAACCAGTTCATAATATTGAACTTCATTGGTCATAGCTTCTCAATGGAATATCTGAATTACAGTTTGAAATGAGTTACTAATGAGCAAATGTTAATTATCAACAAGTGATTTATTGAAAATCTATGTAACAGTCAACATAAACTTCAATAATTAAATGATATAAGTACTTGCTAAAACTATTTGGCTTTCACTATTGTATAAAGACCACTTCAGGTAAATTTTATTGATTAAAACTGTTCTTTACTTTCCATTCTTATTTTCTATAGTTTATGATCCTTGTAAAAATGGAAATCATGATTGTTCAATAAATGCTAAATGTATTGTACAACCACAAGGTACTTATATATGCGAGTGTAATCCTTTTACAATTGATGCATCATTCGATGCTAATTATCCTGGACGACGTTGTATGTGTAAGTGTTGATTTAGTCTAACAATGATAATGATTGTAATCACAAATTGATTTAAGTTAGTTAACTAGTGAAAATATGTGACTCCTCAATAGTGACTCATCTACCATTCCACAAATGAGAGTCGAACCTAGAACCTTCAGCCTTGTGAGTAGACGATTATCCTGTAAGCTATTGAACTGGATTCCAATGGTTTACAAGTCTAACTTCAATCAATCTGTTTTTGGTGAGCACCTTCCTCATACTCGACAGGATTGAATTCAATTGGTTGCAGCTTTGCTCACATACACTAGAAACCCATAATGACAACAATGGTAATAATAATGGACGAAACGGTCGTCAGAAAATGGAAACTGAATAGAGGACGAAGTGCTAAAGAAGACTGGGTAAGTAGCACCTCCTTAAGTACAAATAACAGGTCCTTAGTACATATGATAGATCATCTCAAAGAGGTCACTTCAAGTGTTTGAGAAACTGACAGGCCACAACGATATTACTACTTATATGGCAATATGTGTAGCCGCGCACCACAATATACACAGATGGCCGGAGAGCATATCGATGCTCACATACACTTGATTACATGCATCGTTGACCCCACCACCAGAGTACACGAAAATAATAGAGAAGCAATGTGACCGAGGCTAAAAGAATTTTCGCGACCTTATCATGGCTCCAGAGGTCGATTATTACAGAGTCACATGGATGAGTTGCTGTATCGTATGCATTACAATTTCAGAACTTTAGAGCCTCTTCATAATGTTGAAAAGTTTTTAAACCAAGTTACAGAAGTGTGTCCACTCTAATTTTTTGGTTCTGTATAATATATTCTTACTCTTTACTGACAGTTTTCTCATTTACTGAAATGTTTTAAGGTCATTTGGGATTCCTTCCAAGGTCATCCATAAATTCTTATCTTGCTTGTGAATTCAGTTGACGATTTCCCAAATAAGATGAAAGATATGTCTTGGATCCCACTGCTACCCATGATCCATTTATTGTAAATAAAATTGATTATCATATCGATTATAAAAATAAAATTTCCTCGAAATTCAAGATTTTCAGGAATGGTCTGTTATGGTTCCATAGTTTAATGTAACTAAAATTTTATCCAGACTCTTTCATATTTCTCTACTAAGAATGGTTATAGACTTGATAAATGCTACCACAACCGTATTTTAACGTATGGTTCATGATATATAGTGAGAGGTTTAGCGGCCAACACAAGATCACTACCTACCATTCATAAGATTGAAATATTTAATGATATTCATCCTGTTTTAGACCGTAGTTTATTTATAAGCAGAGATGGATGGCGGTTAGCATTGGAATACAGAACGCGCGTTTCACCCTATTTTGAACTTGACAGCTGGATGTACCTGCATCTTACAGTCCATATTCGCTCCGGTGCTCAGTACTTTCCTTTTCAAATGCCACTATATAATCCACTTATTTACTGAGTCCAGATAGCCACTGGTTTGTGCAATGGAATAAATTTTAATTAGTGCGTATTGGTTTTTGGAATTAAATGACAAATTACAGAGTTGTAGGGTTAATAAGAGTTTCAAGGGTAGTAGTAGACAAGATTAAATATATACAATATAACTTGGTAACAAAGAATGAAATCATGGAGTTAAAAGGTATAAGTATTTTATGAGAATGTGTATCTATGCTATTACAACTGATTCTGATCCATATCATCCATCTTCAACAATTGGTTGCGATAATGGTTCGAACCCCAATCAGATAGGCTACATCTGTTAACACGGCTCACTATAAAAGTTATTGATTCTATAGACAGATTCTATGTTTTCATTTGACCTTTAACTTTTCTTCGACATTGTTCTGCCCCAGCCATCATCCCATTATCAAGGTAGGTGATGATATGGGATACTTACTACATATTATAATCATCCTATTCAATGAAATTTTATTGTCTCTTCAATCGATCTACCATCTTTACGTAGCATTTCACATCTGAATGTAGCATTGTTCACTCGATAATCCTAACATACCAGAACACTACTTCAAAAACATCTAGGACTCGAACCCAGTATCACTCTCTTCAAACATTATCACGTTATCCACTTAGCCAGAGTGAACATCAACTCTGAGATGCATGTACATCCAACTGACGAGTCCTAAATAGGACGAGAAGCGCGTCCTGGATATCACTATCCATCTTTACTTATCTATTATATTTGTTTTTTCTTTTGTTCTTCTACTATTTCAGATGATGGTTTAATTATATTAGCATTTGCTATTATTGGTGGCTTTATTTGTACACTTACTGTACTTATTTGTGGATGTCGTCGAACAATATGGCGAAGATATCGTCGTGGACCAGAATCTATTGATTTAATTAATATGCCAAGAAATTATGATATTTAAAGAAGAAGAAGAGAAATGCCCGATTCGTTTTGTCACATGTTTGTTTATTTGTAAAAACAAAAACAAACAAACAAACAACACAAACCTGGATACATGTTTCCCTTTCATTAACAATACATGTATAATGTAAATGTCTATTCAGAACTATTTGTTCATCATAATGAACTTATTGCCAATTCTCCACTCAATCACCCCCTCCAAACACACACACACACCTACATACACTAAGGATTCACAAATGCACCTATGTATACTCATTCACAAAAGATAAACAAATAAAAACAAACAAACAAATGCACAAATGTGAATAGTTCAGAGAACGAGAGAGACCAAGAGAAGGGGGGCGAGGAAAACTTGTCCTCCACTTCTATTTTTTTTTGATTTATTCCACGGTTTTCATCATGTTTTTATTTATTATGGTTTGTACTATTATTATGTTTTACCATAAACAATGATTTACTATCTTTATAACATACATTTTATGTATTTCAGTTTATTCAGTGTGTTGTTTGAATTGTATCGGTTGTTGTCAATGGATCTTGTTATTTTTTTTTTAAAAAAAAGCTGTTTTTTTCTTAATTCCGCAATATTTTCCATTTTAATAGTTGAGATTATGAGTCCATTGAAGTTAGACCACCATGAAGAACCTGGAAGCAATGGACGACCGTTACACACTATTGTAGGACACCTCAACAAAGCGTATCTATGATTCCGCCATGCGAAATTCGGATTCAGAACCCCTCGGTCTCACATGCGAACACTTAAACTCTAGACCAGTGAGTCAGCATCTAACAGTGTCAATATCTAGCTTCAATTAATGCACAAAATTATGTGACATGTCTATTATTGTCTTCGATAACATTTACTAGCTTTATAAACGTGATTTAATTGCTAGATATGATGATGATGATGATGATGATGATGATGATGATGATGATGATGATGATGATGATGATGATGATGATGATGATGATGATGATGATGATGATGATGATGATGATGATGATGATGATGATGATGATGATGATGATGATGATGATGATGATGATGATGATGATGATGATGATGATGATGATGATGATGATGATGATGATGATGATGATGATGATGATGATGATGATGATGATGATGATGATGATGATGATGATGATGATGATGATGATGATGATGATGATGATGATGATGATGATGATGATGATGATGATGATGATGATGATGATGATGATGATGATGATGATGATGATGATGATGATGATGATGATGATGATGATGATGATGATGATGATGATGATGATGATGATGATGATGATGATGATGATGATGATGATGATGATGATGATGATGATGATGATGATGATGATGATGATGATGATGATGATGATGATGATGATGATGATGATGATGATGATGATGATGATGATGATGATGATGATGATGATGATGATGATGATGATGATGATGATGATGATGATGATGATGATGATGATGATGATGATGATGATGATGATGATGATGATGATGATGATGATGATGATGAATGATTATTGGAAATATCATTAAACACGAGTGAACAACATGATGACTGTCAGCAACAACAAAAAGAGATTTATTGAGTGGTGAAACTATAATTTATGGACGATCTTTAAACGAATCTTAACTGACGTTGTGAAATATTAATCAATCGTAAAACAGTTAGTATAGAGTAAAAATATATTATACAGATCTAAAGAATTAAATTGGATACACTTCTTTTACACGGTTCAAAAACTTATCAAGGTTAGAAATACATTCAGAGGTTCTAAAATCAAAATGTATACGGTAAAGGAACTCATCCATATGGCTTTATCATAGTCGGCCTCTGGAGCCATGATAAGGCAGCAAAAACTCTTTCAGCCTCGACCACATAGCTTCAATATTGTTTGTGTGAACTTCGTTTGTTGGGTCCACAAAATGCCACTTGTGGATAACGACAAGATGAGTAAAACCAAGTCTGTGTAGGCATCTGTATGCTCTCCAATCATCCGTATACACTGTAGTACCTGGCCGCAGCTAATGTTACTGATGCTTTCATTATCCAGTTCACAACAATTATCATAATTTGCCTAAGTCTCTATCTGGATCAAGCGACAAAAGTCCTTGTTTTACCAAACTTTTTCCTCCAACATATATTACATCGTAATACAACATCATCACGATGGACTTCACAATTTCCAGCAGCCATTTGAACACCATAATCACAAATACAGGAACTTCTTAGTAATCCCATATGTTGTAGCCACTCAACTGTAATGTCCTGATTGAGATCCGCTGTAAACCGATCATACGTGAGCATCAGGTACTGAAACTGGCTTTGAGATCTCTCAAACGCTTCTTATTGGCTCGTCCATAAATTATAGTCTCGCCATATTGAATATTTATCTAGACTATTTAATTATTTTGAGAACACATTTGACGATGTCATTATTTATAAACGAACTAATCAAGTACAAGATATCAGGTCTCGGATTATGGTGCGACATTCACTCATCCATTTGGCTATATAGAGTTTTGGCATTATAGCTGATGTCAGTTCGTGATGAAAGCACTAAATCTAATTCCTAACCTTAACCATCAACTGTAAATCATAACTCTGATTCCTCACACTGATTTATAACCCTCATTTAGTCCGGGTCAGTAGGTGGATATTCTAAAGGTCACTTAAGCGCGTTTTCGAAACCAATAAATCATATTAGAGTTTGTCACAGCCAACGCATTTTATTCTCAGTTATAGAATGTTAGTTCTATTTTTAAACGAATTACTAATTTCATATTTACTTATGTCTGTTACCCCTCATGTAGGAGTATAGGCCTCTCACCAGAATTCTCAATCCAACTCTTTCATAGGAAATCCTTTATAGTTGTTTGTAGTTGCTATTTTTCCTTTGAATTTCTGCTTTCAGTTCCTGACGCAGTGTGTTATTTAGCTTTTTTCTTTTTCGTTTCCATTTAGGATTCCAAGTTAGGGCTTGACTTGTGATGCAGTTTGGCGATTTCCGTAATGTATGTCCCATCCATCTCTAGTGAATTATATTTATTTCCTCTTCAGCTGAAAGCTGGTTTGTTCTCACCCACATTCAAGTTTTGCTGATGGTATCCAGTCAACGGACATTAATTATATTGTGTAGAGAATTGTTTATAAATACTTGTACATATTTGTTGATGGTTGTGGTAATTTTCTATGTTTCACCGCCGCACAGTAAAACTGTCTCGACGTTCGTATTGAAGATTATGATTTTGATATTGGTTAACAGACAGTTGTTTTGAGTTCGATACGTTCTTCAATTGTAGGACTGCTGTCCTTGTTTTGTCAATCCTCGCTTTTACGTCTGCACCAGATCCTTCTTGTTTATCGACGATGCTACTCAAATCCTTCCATAGAAATCATTAACTTAATTTCAAAATGTTAATAAGTTTATCTAAAGATTAGTTAGTGGAAACAGTAATAACAGACAATAGTTTCATTGAAAATCACTATAGTCTCATTTACACACGATCTATTTGTGTAAATCTGTTTTATTAGTCAATTTAGCCACATCTATCAACAGATGACTATCATTTATTGTAACATAAAGATCAGAACGGATATTCAAAGAAAACGTATTAAGCCACTGTTAGTCAACCGTCATTATATATATGTAAGTGTCTAAGAAGAGCTAATATTATTTGTGTTGTTATATTATGAGAAAGGCTCACGGGTTAACTTGAGGAAGCTCTAACACGCTCAGAAAGAACTGAAGATATTCCATCGAATCATCTTTTGAAAGAACAATGCACAATCTCGACGTGTATCTTCCATATTGGATAAATGCTAAAAACCCCTGTATGCTGATTGAATAACTATAATGATGATTTCGTTTTTACTAAAAACTATAAATCCCTGAACGTTTTGTACCATATTTGACGCTCTTTCGGAATAGCATTCCTTCTCACTCGTCTTCTCACTTCTCATTTCATAACATGGAGGGTTCTAACGTTCGATTACTCAAGTTGTACGTGGTATATCAAAGAGTTTAAGCTCTATATATAACATATATGTAAGTTTCTTTTTTTAAGAAGAAGGATGACCCCAATGACATTTACTACTTAATAAACATTCTATCTCCTCCATCTCCTATTGACCTATGAATTATCATTGTTAAAGCGTTATTTTGTAACAGAATTCCAATCTATTCAAGTTTGTATTTACTCCCATTTATTCTTAATTATTTATAGATAGGACAATACACTTTTAATTGAATGAATGAAGGTAGATACAATCAAATTTAATTGAAGAATACCTTTAAGAAGAATAAGATTATTGATAGTGTTTCTATTTAAATCGGTGTCAGTTTGTCAAATCATTATTGTTATGTAAACTGAAGGAATTTCTTGAACGTGTTAACAACGCGTCAATCAATGTTAATCTTTATCTAATCAAATTGTTTTTTTATTGCCTATTCAAGCTATAAATTTATTGCCATCTGGTTTTCTTGAATAACCACCATTTGTTGCTTGAGTATGATTTGCATCTAAATAGAATGGGAAGAAATTTAATATATGTAGTTATATTACTAATGAGTAGTTAAAGTAATCTTTTAAAAAACATATTTGATAGCTCAATTAATGTATGCTGTGAAAAAGACTACACATATGAAACTTGTTAAACTTTATACATAAGGAAAAGTGAACTAAGCTTATCATTCGATTACTTTCAATTAGCACTTCATCATTATAGTTCTGTACTGATATTTACGAGCAATTCAATGAATACGAATACTATAACACTTTACAGAATTGTAATTGAAACAAACTGTAATAAACATTTTTTTATTTGTCTAGTATCTAATCATGTCGTTTTTGGGAACTTCGTATATTTCAAAAGTGATCTCATCAAAGTTTATATGACTCGGAGAAACACTGTGAAATAGGTAACACTGAGATGCTTAGTCAACTCCACATTGGGTTCCTCGGGGGGCTACTGCCGGTCTCAAGCCCGGATAGACGAGGAGGGGTGGGCATGGGGTTAGCGTCCCCATCCCGTAGAAAACTAACTTTCTAAAAACGCTAACCAGAAAAACTTATTCAAGGAGTTTAAACTCTGCCCTGGGGATCAGAAGGTCTTCGTTTAGAAGAGTTATGACGCCTCATGATGAAAGCTGAGTTCCTTCTGAAGTTACGAGGCCGATGCCCCTTCTGACAACCAGAGCAACCACTTATTTAGGTGCATGGAATACTCGTACAATGTGAGAGACCGGTAGAGTCTTCCAAATTGCTGCAGAAATGAGGAGATACAACCTAGAGGTGCTTGGGATCAGTGAAACACGTTGGAAGCAAGTTAGACAACAACGACTAGCTTCAGGGGAGCTTCTGTTATACTCCGGCAAGATGCTCAGTCGTCCATATAACTAACACGGTGAATAAATTTTATTGTTTAATTTTCTGATCAGAATGGTTTTATTGAGAAGCTTTCTTTATCACCTTGGACAACATGAACATATATATGAAATGTTATTAAGATAAAGTCCTAGAAGTTACTTTGTCATTGCCAAGCTGATTGGTTAATTAAGCACCAGTTAGTGCTAGTTGATTTGTCAAGACTGAACTAGTGTGATTCTACTATTTCAGGTTTTGTGGTCCAAACCGCTTGACGCATGTCTTGCATTCTTATCACCCTTCTTCTGATTTACTTACTTACTTACGCTTGTTACTCCCAATGGAGCATAGGCCAACGATCAGCACTCTCCAACACACTTTATCCTGTGCCTTCTTTTTTAGTTCTATCCAATTGTTGTTCATTCTTCTCATATCTGTCTCCATTTCTCAAAGTAATGTGTTATTTGGTCTTTCTATTCTCCTTTGGCATTGAAAATTCCAAGTGACGAGGGCTTGCCTTGTAATGCAATCCGGTGTTATCCTTAATGTGTGTCCTATCCACTTCCAGAACTTCTTGATTTCTTCCTCCCCTTGAATTGGGTTTGTTCTCTCCTACAGTAGTTTGTTACTGATAGTTTCTGATCAACGGATACCAAGTATTTTGCGTAGACAGCTGTTGATAAACACTTGTATCATCTGGAAGATTGATTTTGTAGTTCTCCATCTTTCCGCCCCATAGGATAGAACTATCTTGACATTTGTATTGGAAATTCTGAATCTGGTGTTATTTGACAGACAGTTGTTTTGAGTTGCAGATGTTTTTCAATTGTAGATATGTTGCTCTTGCTTTGCCGATCGGCGCCTTCACATCTGCATCAAATCAACCGTGTTCGTCAATGATGCTGCCAGATATGTAAAGGTTTTTACATCCTCTAAAGCTTCTCCGTCAAGTGTGATTCGATTGTTGCGTACCGTGTTGTCTCGGCGAAACTTGTTTTTCCCTTTGTGTATGCTGAGACTTATTGCTGCTGAGGCCACCGCTGCTGCACTGGTCGCCTTCTGCATTTGTTGTTGCGTGTGTGTTGGAATATTCAGGAAAATATCCCAAAAATTATCCTGTTAAGCCTAATGTTATCCTTGGACATGAAATGGTATCATCTTATTGGTCAATATTTGTTTAACGTGTCATTTTCCTACTGGCCATTATTGTACAATGTTATTTTCTATTTTATGGGACGTTGTGGTCTGCTTGACTGGTATATAAACAAAGTATGTTTGAAATATAATGATTCATATATCCAAGGCTGTGACTTGCGTTCTGGACTCATCTGGCTGGGCTAGACAGAGAAGCGAGACCAATCAGAACCCTAGGTCGTTCTACGTGTTTGTGCGTCTTTGGTCCGATCAATAATTCGCTACCCTTAATCAGCAGCATCATTTTTACATTATAACAGTGTGCGATAGAAGAGCCAGAACATCTGTTGAATCTAGATCGTCCAGCTGCGTCCTGGTTGTCCACTGTATCCCGTGCTTCCTCCCATATATTGACGTCATCATGATCTAGTCGGTCACCGGGAGAAAGAGAAAGGGTGAGCGTAAGCAACCTTGCTTGACACCGGTCTTTAGTTCGAACGAGTCTGTGAACTGATTGTTACGAATCAATCGAAGTGCGTTAACAAACGAGTATTAAGTAAGGGGATAATTAACATAATATACTGACAAAAATTTTTCTGGTGAACTAATAGTTTCCACTTTAATGGCCCTGACCAGTTCATCTAAACAAGGGCTAAAAAAATTTAAGAATCATTTTAAATAATGTAGTTTTGTATGGGTGTCATGTTACACTGAGGTGCGTTATAAACTTATTTCAATTATGAACCAATAAAATTACAGTCTAATAGTATGGATGTTCTAGTTTATTTCAGCATTGTCAGCAGTTATCAGCTGACGTCTTTTTGATTCTCTAAAATGGTAAATATAAACTGATAAACTTATTTTGAAATTCACAAAGAACGAATTATGAAAGCGATCAAATCTTCTTTTCATTTGTTCTTTTCGAATTGTACATTTTACTTTTCTAATTCAGTATCTAGATTATTCTTTTCTGTATCTCATGTAGTTTATTTTGTCTTGTTCACTGTGTTGATATGATGAATAGCAACTGATACATATACGTGCTAGGTGTTATTCTATGTACAAAGACCTGATTTTTACATTTTC